AATCGGGATATGATCGACCGTTTATATTGGCTGATGCTTAGCTAAACCCTTACGGTACTAATGACCTCTGAGTAGTTGGAGCTTCCACTATTTTCTGCAACTAGTACTTAATACCACGGGCCTTCCTGCGGAGTTGGGGGGGGAGACCAAATTCTCCAATTTATCGAGGTGAATTATTATTATTATTTCCCATCAATTCGCGGTTTGGTGGATAAATCAAGTCTGCAGTCAAACCGCATTATTTTGATCATCCGCATTAACAGGCACCCCTTAAATGCATTCCACGTAGTGTCGTTCTCCAGATTTCCCTACCGGGACGGCACGAGACTAGATTCCGTGTGCTCAGATACAATTACCATCAGAACAGGCACTGAAACTACTGTTCTTGGCAGGGTTACTAGCAGAAACTACCGTGTTGTAGCATAGCACGAAATCGAGGTTTTATGCAGTGCTGCGCTGTTCATCTATGAGAATTACCTTCAATTTCTAGAAACGTCAAGTAGAAACGGCATATGTACCTTATTCTTCGGTCATGGGGGGGGAAGGGAGGTTCCGGTTTCCCCATATATGCATCAGGGTCTCTTGTACTAGCTAAGCCATCCGAGCCCACGGAAAGATGAAGCTTGGCCCCTTGATACGGAAGTTCCACTCCAGGGCAACCAAGGGTTGATAAATGCCAATGTTCGGGAAATCGTTAAATCTAGGTGGCCCGGGCCGAGCATTTTCTTCTCGGTATCCTCCGAACAGGCCCCCCATAACCCTAGAGAAACAGCAAACAACACATCAGTGTGATTCCTCTGCGTATGCGGGAGTGTCGCTTGCTGTTTGGTGTTTTGTTATCCCCAAGGGTCAACTTACCCTCTTACGCTTCTTCCTTCCTTGATTATCAGATCATCTGCATAATCACCTCAGGTCTTCAAATTTTACGAATAGGTAATAGAAGGTATGTACTTCAAGAGAGTGAAATATGTCACATGATATCGTACGCCGGTAGAACGCATCAATGACCTAATGAAATCAGACATCTCTGCCTTTATCAAGATGTTTTGTGTTAATATAGCGCAGCCCAACCAGTGCGACCGGTCATACCCATCCAATGTTCCTCCGCACCGGGGCCGGCGAACAAATGTCGGTATCTCGCCGCCGCTGTAGATCAGTATTGTGCCAATTCATGTAATTGATATTATATGTGTTATATAAAGAGGTAGTATAAGTCGTTATTGGCTTCGGTGCTTTCCCTCTTATGATCATCGTTGTTCCAGATTATCTTTTCGTCATTGGCAAAGACTTTTCTAGATCTCCTTGCTCTATGGGATATATTAGGTTCTCTGAGATAACTGTAGCAATATCCCTTTTTAACATGTTTGTTTAATATTGGAGGGTACTAGTCGCGCCAAATCTTTGTTGTCGATCTTAGCTTTGGGTCACCGCAAACCACTTATCAAAATCACAGGAGAACTTACAAAATGCAATAATATAATCCAACAAGATTCTCCCGGAGCTACACGTACCTGTATAGCGCAGTAACCTCCGTGTAAACTCCGAACAAGCAGGAAACACGGAACCCGAAACATGCACCTGCAAGGAGAGGGTATACAGGCTCTATCTGGATGATATCAAAAGGGCTTCGAAAGACCTTATACGCTGCCCTAGAGAACCGAACGGGAGAGTTGCTTAATAATACCAATGCTATGGTGCAATGGCTCCTCTGTTCTTCGGGGGTGGTAATACCTGTCATTCGCCTATTGTATCCGGTTTATTCGCCGGCCACCATGTACCAGTTTAGAAGGTCCATATGATTCCACAACACTGAAACCTTATGTATCCATGCAGACGCTCCAACCTATATAGACATTGGATTCTATATACCCAATTGCGTTTGGTAGGTAAGATGAAAATCGCGATCAATCGAGCAGCCCTTTCGGAACTTCCTTTGTTAGCTTACTTCTACAAGACGGACACGCTTCTCTATCTTCACCTTTTGGAATTCTTACTTTCTAATACGCGTTTAGATCCAAAAAAACTAGTTGAACTATGCATACGGTAGGTGAAATTGGGTTTGAACCGAATCCTTACATGAGTGAGTTGTGTTGCACACAACCGACGAGAGGCTCCTACGGGGTGTAATTCCGCTGTATGGTTGAGGGAAAGATGGTTGCAGAAGATAATGTATCTCTAGAACTCAAGGAACTCACCGAGCTTGTATGACATGTGTCTTCACCACTGTCGATATATATACCTGTATGTTGTGCACATACTTGCGTGTACGTGTCCTTTCTGCGAGCGGGTTAAAAACTTCCTCCAAAGCTTAAATTTTCGGATATAAATTTGATGGAATAAGAAAGCGAAGCTTCTCATACTGCAGTTACATACGCAGGACGAAAGTATTTTGCGGAGAAAGCATTCCCATCAGCACCTACATGAATTATCAATCGATCAATCATCAGCACCTATAAACACCGAGTGATGACCCATGAGACTAATTACATCTATCACTCACCCGACATGTTTTTGGAAAAAGATTAAGGATTGAGTCATAAAAATTCTTGAATAAGTATAAAGAGTATGTATCCTAGTCCAGTAGGCTTTGGCCTCAAGGTATCCCATGAACTGTCAAGATGGCTGAGGCATTCAACTGGAGAACGGTTTAAACAAACAAAAAAAAAAAAGCTGGAGAACGGTAGTGGATGGTCTGTGTTTGTTAACATAAACTACAACATCTTACATATTGATGATTCTGCTCAGATTTCCTGGGCTTGCGACCGTTTGCTTTGTCAAAGGCCTCTAGTCTCCGGCCTAATTTTCAACGATATATGTTCCATCTCGGTCACCACAGGATTCTGTTGACTGACCAATTAGACTGCTGGTAAATGAGTTGTCTTGTTGTATGCTACTTAGTCGTAGCTAACCGCCTCCGGGATCTTATAAGGTTTAGCCCATTTGGATCAGTACTCTGGAGACTTTTATTTATAATTGATACTTTCTATTTTCTAGCATTCCACTATCCTAGGAGCATACATGTATATTGCTATTACCTCTTGACTTGCCGTTAAAGATAAAATTATTCAGAATGAAATGTGATTAGCTCCGTTTCTTTGGCCGGGTTATCCACCGGCATATCGATATATCAGACAAGCGTCTACCGGCTTTCGACCGGACTGAAGCTGTGGAGTATCAATCTCTGAATTATATTATTCTATAGTTATCAACTCCCTTGATCACAATTTTGCTTATTCTGCTGGCTGACAGAAGTAGGTTTTGCCTCATACTGGAAACAGCATAAGAAACGTATCGTGGAGTACTAGTGCATAGCCGAACACTACGTGTACTATATATCGTTGTTAGTATCACATATTGGAGTCAACACCATACCATCTTTATTAATCTGTCGACTCACAAGAATATATTTACTCGCAATAGTTAATCAATCGGCTGACTCAGTTGATCAGAGAAGACACAAAAGAAACTACTATATAGAAACGAAAAAAGCTCACATTATGTACACGGTATATCCACACTTATCAGATAGTTCCAGAATCAGATTTATAAGAAGCTTCCAGTATAGTACAGAGATTGCATTCAGGCTTCGTTTTTCTAGCTCCTCGTAATATTGTGAATCAACCACTGTAATAATGCCAACCATTTGGTTTCCCGGACAGGTCTAACTAGTACTAGTATATCACAATTAGTGATATCATAACATTAACAAGAGGAGTCACCTAACAACTCTTTTAGGCTACGTATCACATATTTCTCCTGTTGGTAGAAGGGTCGATAATCATGTTGGCGACTAGGACGGAACATATTATAACGTCCCCGGGGTGTCAATAAGTGATGCAACAATCTTATATCTCAGCAGTTGTGCTAGCATGAAGAAAACCAAATGGATCGACAGTTAATTAGGACTCATATATTACGGTTTTGACCGGATTATGTAGCGCTATAGCTTTGGGTCCAAAGTTGCATATTAACCTTGCCGAGAAGCTTCGACGACCACCTTATTCATTATATCTATGAAAACCAGATTTTTTATTTCTAAGCCGATAAACGATACCTAAATGTAGTGTCGGGATTTGAAACTAGTTTAGGTTTTGTGTTGTGTCGAAACATCGGTTTTTAGGCGGCTGAGAAGTCAAATGTGGAATCACTTGCAATTGGTGATATTCCAGGGACATGGCCAAATAGACTAAGCCTGCAGGCTAGTCTGGAGCCATCCCCTCTGCAGACTACTGCACTCGGGTGGAAATGACGACTACATCTACCTAAATCAAACTCAATCTTCATACTACAACGCTTGACACATGATGTCATCATAGACTTCTTTCAAAATGCTTGTCTTGTGTCGCGCTGTGATCCTTACATGCCAAGGATGACGACATACACGCGAGTGATACTCTGTGCATATAGATCCTCAACCACATTTCAATAAGCTCACGAATTATGTTTTTCACTTTTGGATGGACAGCACAGAATATAATATAAGATCTATGAGTATTTTGTATTAGTATGTGCCATCTCAATCAATTCCAACGAACGACCTCTCATAAATAATACAGTAAGGTTATCATAATACAGATAGTGAATGTGGTATAATGAAACAAAATATTTCCTCCGTAGCCGACGATACACCCGCCGCAGTAGTTGAATACATAGAAGGTCAATAATCAGTCATAAAAACACAAACTGGAATGCAAGCATATACACCAAATAAACAGAAAACTCCTCCCCAGGTGCAAATGAAAGAAACGGATGATAACGCCTGCAAAGCCACCGCCGAACGAAACGACCTTATCGCTGGGGGGGGGAAACATAAAAAATACCCCATACTCCACTTGAATGGCCCAACAACCTTAGACCACAATGTCTCCATGAACCCGGGGTGAGGGGAGAATACCGAAAGAAAAACATTTTAACAATCCTCCAAAAAGAACTCCCTTAATGCAACTGATGAGATGTGGTTTCAGCAAAGAAAAACTGCCCGAATAAGTTTTAGCCTCTATTTATGGGTGCCCAATAAGCTGGATTGGGTCGTCTTCATCTTCATCGTCCTCTTCATCTTCACCCGCTTCTGTCTTAAACTCGTCTTCGTCGTCCACTTCCAGGTCCGAAACCGCATCACTATTCGTCTCCCAACCATCATCGACTATCAAGTCCTCGTCTCCCATATCCAACGTAACACCAATCGCCTCCTCGGCTGCTGCAAGCGCTCGGTTTGCATTTAGAATTGCCGCCTCTCCATCTGTGGGCCCGGCTTCGGCCCGCGCCAAGCGTGGCGGTGAATTCAGTAGCTGTGCTGTTGCTAGTGAATTCGAGGAAATTGTCCTTAACGGTGCGGGAGGGTACGGCTGGCGATGTGTTGTTGTTGTCTCTATCAACATCACCAGCCATATTTTCAGGCCGGATTGTTCGAATTGACTTGTATTATACGATTTACAATTGTCGCATTTCAGTCCCAGAAAGTGGAAAGGAACATTCTGTTTTGCCGAACAATCGTTGCAAGTGATAAGGGACCGCCATTTATCGTACGGAGCAGGAAGGGGTTGAGCCTCAATCTCACTGTCGAGAGCACGAAACTGACTCTCCATGTTTACGATTGTCCTCGTACATGTAGGACACCGGTAGGATGTCTTCATATGCTCATAGTAGCATTTGCGATGAATTGAATGTCCACAACGCTGCATCACCAAAGTAAGTTTCATCCGGGATTACGGAATTGGAAAGATCGAAAATATTGAATCACATACCATAAAAACGACCGTCATGGTAGACGTAAACATGTATTCACCGCATATTGGGCAGTCACACTCCGTTGAGCGCTCTATGCACCTGTGGGAGCCCTCCAAAGAGATAGACATACATACACCGCATTTCTATATTACTTGTTAATTTTATTCGTTCCACACAATTTGTTTACGTGATTAGAGACCTTGCAGTGGAAGAAATCTTTGCCCAGTCCTTCACCAATCCGGCATATTCCACAGTCATTGCAATGATAAATGCTTTTTCGCGGGTCGTTATCCCACAATTTACACTATTGGTCACAAAATCAGAGTCAGTATTGTATAAGTCTTTCCAAGGTTGGAGAGCATGGTATTTCTTTTTAGTCCTTGACGGGTAGAATGTGATAGATATGAATAAGAGAAGGAAAAAAATAGGTATTTCTATCTTCTTTTTTGAAAAAGCGACGGCCAGGAAACAGACCTTGTCACAATAGTATCTAGCGCTCCTTATACCGCAATTCTTGCAGTCCTGCCCTACTGGCTGTGCCGTTCCACAATGCATGCACAACATGTTTTAGTTTCCCTCCTAATCAAAACATGGTCCTCTTTCTCATCGTGACAGAACCTGCATGTGTACCACTTCTCACATGTCGAACATTGGAGTTTTACGCCACGCCGGTAATGCGGGCAATCCAAGCTCCTCCGGTAGATCTTGGAGAGTTCCCAAATCCGTAGAAGCTGGGTATCTCCTCTTGAACTACCAACTCCCCATTAGCTGCTACATCTGGAGTAGGTGGTCCTGTATAATATGTTTTTGCGATATCCAGAGGTGAAAGTTTGAACGGGTTATCGTGCTGTGAGATGTAGGACTCCTCTGCATTAGCTTGGGACTGGCCCGACTGTGCAGATTCTAACTCGAACATTTCCTCGGGACGACGAGAGGCATTATATTTCTCCAACATAAGACTATGCATTCGTACGGCCCTCTCCCGGTCTGAAATATTCAGCTTGAGATCTCGACAAGCTTTTGGCGCAAAAACTTCTGTCCATCCTCTTCCGGGAGCGCAGATTTCGCGGGGTTCTGTAATGCCGAATTGTCTTCCGAGGTCGGGGATAAGGTAGTAGGTAAGTCCGAGAAAGATATTGGCGACCTCCATGTTGACGGTGGTGATTCGGGGGTCCGATTCGCGAATTCGTTTGATTGACCTGACATGGGGGGCCGGTACCTTGAAGAAGGATCACCGATTGCTAATGCCTGCTCGGAAGCTCCGTCTTCCGGGTCTGCATCGAAAGATTCGAAAACTGGCTCTAAGGCACGAGGGGAATGGAGTGGTGTCGCGATGGCTGATTCTGCGGCTGAGAAATCGTGATCCTCATCTGAGAGGGCTGGAATAGGAGGTGCAGGACGCTCCTCAGCGGCCGACGACTGCGACCACCGTCGAGCCCTCTCAACAACTGGCCCAAGAACGTTTTGAAGTCGGGTAGCGTAGGTGGCCATCAGAGATTTTGAAAAGGGCTGACTACACAGCGCACTTTTATACTGCACTTTACCGTTTGTGTTGTGTTACAGTGCTATTATCTGGCTCTCCTATAGGGGGGTAAACCCTTCTGGTTGTTATATAAACAGCTGTACGGGTGCTGTAAAGGTAGCTAACTGGATGGGACCGAGGGTCAATCGTCGTGATAATCTGGGGTCGGAGCTAGTGACTGCAGGTAGAGAAGTCAAACTATTTAGTGGTAGTAGAAATAACAACCCAATGTACTCTACCGCCAGAAGAGGGATTATATTATTGTATTATTGATAGCTGAAGGTGGGGAGTAGCAGTAGTAACAGCGGAGTAATAACAGAAACTGGGGGAGGGGTACGAGGAGTCTGTGGGTACTCGAGAGTATTGAGTATGGAGAATATGTGGTGGTGAAAGTTTCAAGCAGAAGAAGAAAGGATAGCGCGGTGGGGGGGGGTTGCGGCCAGTTGACGATGAGATCACACACGCATACACGCACACATCCACATACACAAGAGATGAGGGCAGAAAAGACAAGAGGGAAACAGCACACAGCTAGAGCGGAGAAGTTCGCACGGATTTACAGTGTCAATGGGGGATGACGGGGTTTGATTTGAAGTGCTTACTGATGAAAGGAGCCATTTCTACCCTGAGGCAAATACCTACATGATTGTATCTAGAGAGAGATATTCTTCCTAGTGAGTTGTACCGGGATAGACGGAGCTGGGAACTCACGCCCGAGCACCATCCAGTCGGCAGCAACAGCAGCTCTTCACCCCAGTCAATTACGGAGACAGATCTGCCGGTCCTGGCTCGAAAACTAACGACATCATCAGCCATGCATGGTCTGATTTCTCATCTCGCTTTCAATCTTATTTCTACATGCTTCAACTACGGAAGTTCTTTGTTTCCCGTATAGACGTCTAGCATAGGACATCCATATGGTAAATACTTGATGGCCAAATCGAGGCGTACTCTATATATCTGTTCAAGCAGAGAGCCGTCTTCGGTTCTTTTCCTCAGGTAGAGGCCCTATGCAGTCCAACCCACGCTAATGCATCCCAACTCAAAGAGGCAAGCAGCGAATTTCCTTACATACATGTACTTTACATGTGACGTTAAAGTGAGATCGCGACTGGCTTGGGGACATAGCCCAAAAAGGAATAGATATCTTGCCCAATTGCAGGAACATCTAGGAAGCTGTTCCTGGGTTCCCTCGATTCGGAATATTTAAGGATGGACCTTTGCTAGGCAAAGTCGTTGCCAAGCATTCTAGATCTCACGAAGCCAACTGGTGACTACATACAACCGACCAACCGTCTGGCAGATGCCTTAACCGCATCGATAAATTCTGCCTCTTGTATCAAAGAGACCTAGGATAAATATTTGTTTCGGCGGTTTGTTTCCGGCGGGGCTCCGATTTACAGTCACCAAATTCCGGTTGGATATCGTCCGCACTGGTTGTATTAGGGAAGAATTCATACTCCACCATATTTGCAATTTCAAAACGGGCAGGAAAACGATCAGGTATCAAATAAGTCTACCCCATAGCCATCTTGAAAATATCATGATCACGACCACAAATGCAAGATACAAACGTTAATATCTTTACTACAATAGAAGAAAAATTACCCATGTTTCGGATTTCTATAATCTACAATGCTTCTGTCCACTGGCAGTCACTTCAATAGGGTTCATCACCGATACCTGGTACTTCCTGAATTCTCTCACAACTATTTAGGTCCCTTATTACCAAGGTGTAACTCCTCAGAACCTTCTCTAGGGGAACTCAAGCACAAAGGAGGGGCATCATATCATTCGCTCTACAAACCTCTTCCAGTGACTATCAAGGTCAGTTTACATGTAATTTTGGCTTGAGACTTATCGCCCATGTTTCACTGGTTGCATATGGCTACATGTAGATTTTCTGC